ACTCTCCAGGCAGAAAGGGCCCCTCTCTGTCATTGTCCCTGCGGGGAAGCTGCTCACGGTCACGGAGCAGGTCAGGGGCTGGGCTAGGACAGGAGCCCAGATCCCGGCCTCTCTCCAGCGCTTCAGGGCAGACGGCCTCAGAGGAAGAAGGTGAGGGGAGCGCCCTCCTCTGGCCGCTCCTTGGAGACAGCTGACCTGGGGCAGCAGGAGGGTCCGTCTGCCTCCTTTTGAACCTCCCTCCTCCAATACTTGGGGCATTTCAGATCCTGGCTATTTTGTGTGCCTGCTTTGCCACCAGGCCCTGGTGCCTCTGGTTGGATCCTTAATTCTAGGGTGGGGTGGAAGGTGGCAGAAGGGACCCAGCTCAGGAAAAAAGGACTTGATAGGAAGACAGTAATCTGCCACCTGCTGGCTGAATTCAAGCTCCCAGCAAACTCTTCCTGGCCTTTGAATCTTGCCTTGATCACTGTGACCTTGAAATCCAAGATTTCTGTCCTTAGTGTCCCCACCTCCCTCCTCCCACTGGAGACGCGCCCTTTTTCATTGTCTCCAGGTTCCTTCCCAGTCTGTTAACCACATTCACAGTAGCATCCCAGTCCCTGGGGATTTGTATATGAAGAGGGCTCTGACAAGGGCAATGCTTAACTCAAAGGGACTGTGGGCTAATGCGGGGATTCCAGGCAGTGTGACAGGCAGGTATGAGGGAGGAGCTCTGGGACAGGAGCTTCCTAGAACTCCTAAGACAGTACTCTGTAGATGCTCACCTTCTCTAAGTGAGGCTGACCCACTTGTGTTTGTTACTGAATTAAAATTCCAAGGGAAGACAGGCTGCAGGTTGTTTCCAAATAGAAACACACATGCAGAGAGAACAAGGAGCTTCTGCCAACATCCCAGACAGGGCCCTCTTCCCCTCCCTGCTCCACAGGCCAGCAGTCCCTGGGCTGGCCGTCTGGGGGAGGAGAGGGATCTGGTAATGCTTCCTGTGGTCGAGGTAAATGTTTGCTCCTGCTCCAGGCAGCCCTTCCAAGCAGGAAGGCTGGCGGGGGGGCTGCGGTGGGGGTGTTTTCAATATGAAGTCATTTCCCACAGTGAAGAAGCAGCCACGTTCTGCACGGTCCACTGGTAGTCTGGGATGTTTGCCCGGCACCAGGAGCGAGTCTAAAAATGCCCAAACCCATCTTGGGAGCTCAGGAGGCTGTCTGGAAGAGAACCCAGGAGTCAGTGAATCCCAAAACAATGGCACCCGGCAGAGGGTGAAGCTCATTCCAGCTGCCAGGGGCTCCGCATCCTGCTGGGTGACATGATGCCCATAGATTGACCACTGGCCGGAGCCCCTCAAGGGCAGGCCTGTTTCTTCCCCATATCTGGGTTCTCAATGCCCAGTACTGAGTAGATCCAGCTACTCAAGTGTGTGTTAGAGTTGAAATCCAAGTTGGTGTTGAGGGTGGGACAGGGAGTTCTAGGCACACCCAGGAGGGACCTCTCCACAGAAGACAAGGGTCTGGAGATTAGCCTAAGGTGTCCTCACCTGGAGAAAAGAGGGGAGCAAGCACCCGGTGGCAGTCGGAACGGGTTCAAAGAGCCGGAGGGGCGGGGCAGTGGGCGCGGCTCAGTGGCGCAAGCGGTTAAGTGCCCACGCTCCGCTGTGGCGGCCCGGGGTTCGCAGGTTTGGATCCCGGGCGCGCACCGACGCACCGCTTATCAAGCCATGCTGTGGCAGTGTCCCATATAAAGTGGAGGAAGATGGGCACGGACGTTAGCCCAGGGCCAGTCTTCCTCAGCAAAAAGAGGAGGATTGGCATCGGATGTTAGCTCAGGGCTGATCTTCCTCACAAAAAAAACACAAAAAACAAAGAGCCAGGAGGGGGGCTTGCTCTCCTCCGTCCTCACAATAATCAAAGCAGTGTGATGGGCTGGGCCGTAAGCGGCAGCAGAGTATATCCTAGAAGACAAAGAACTAGAGGGCACGTGGACAGCTAACAAGGATGAGGAATTCAACAAATGCAGTTGGAAAAATGGGCTTCTTGGGGGGAAATCAAGTTCGACTGACCTTGGACAATTTGCCTTAATAAGTAATGATTAAAGAGCTGCCCAGTTGGGCTCAGAATTGAGGATTTGGTGGCCGAGAGGCACACCGGAGACAGATCACCTTGTCCATTCACCTGCTCCATCTTCCTCAGCATCCCAGGAGGAGGAGCTTAGGGAGGCCGGACTCTCAACGACCTTAGCATTTCTTTCAAGCCCGGGACTTTGTCAACTGATCTAGGGCAGAAACTCCAGGGCTGTCTTTGTTCAAATTCATGTTTAGCAAAAGTGCTTTTCTGCACCCAAGCCCTGCAGGAAGCCGTCCTGCTGCTTCCCTTCTCCTGATGTACTTCCTGTTTGCACCACTCATGCTAGACAATGGGTGGTCTTGGGGAATCATCCCATTCTCCCAGCTGCTGGTATAATGGAAACTTAAGATGTTAGACCAGGAAGGGGCCCTAGAAATTGTCCTGTGTCCATTTTTATAGATGGAGAAAATGACGCCCGGAGAGGAGACGTCAATTACTCGATGTCACACAACCAGTCAGCGGCAGAGCTGGGCCTGGACCCCCCACTCCCGGTCTCTGGCATCCTGCCCACTGCTCCTCTCCAGCCCTTTATCATTTCCTCTCCAGCCCTCTTGTCTAGGGCCTTCATCGCTCTACTCTGGCTCTTCCAAGTTTCCTGTGGCGTCCACACTGCTCCGTGCCAGTCCACCTCGCAGCCTGACAACTCTGCTCCATGACAACCCTGGCCTGGTGAGAGTGCGAGGGTGCGCTGGTGGCCTGGAAGTCCCTGCCCAACATCCCTTGTCTCATGATGGGCCCCAGCCCTCCTCCCAGAACAGACTCTGCCCAGCTCTGAGCCTGGCTAGGACTGTGAGCATGTACCTTCTCTGGCTCTGAGCTCAGAAGATCCATGTCCCTGTGTGTCTCCCTCACTATATCAGCTGAGTGACCTTAAGCATGTCACCGCTCTAGACCTGACTACTCTTCTTAAAAATAGGGATAACATTAGAACATAACACCTAGAGCTGCTGTGAAGATAAAAAGTCAAAGATATGGAATAGTGCTTTGTAAACAGCAAAGCATCATTCCAATGTAAAACGTTGGTGTTCCCCAGACCCCAACACAGGGCTGGGCACAGAGCAGATGACTAGTGAATAACTGTAGAACAGTGGTTCTCAACTGTGGGTGATTTTGACACCCCAGGGGACGTTGGGTGATATCTAGAGACATTTTTGTTCAACACAACTGGGTCGGGTTGCTATGGCATCTGATTGTGGAGGGCAGGGATGCTGCTAAACATCTTACAGTGCACAGGACAGCCCTCACAGCAAAGAATTATCTGGCCCCAAATGTCAATAGTGCTGAGGTTCAGAAGCCTCACTGTAGATGAATGAAAGTGTGAAATTGTATCTGTAGATACAGACGTGGGGTGCTGTTCCCGAAAGGCAAAGGAGCCGCGGCTGGGGAGGTGACCATCGAGATACCATGGTGACCAAGAGCAGGAACCACCCACGGTGAAATGAGATGGCCACGCCCAGCTTTGATAAGTTGAAAACATTTTATTTCAATTCTATCCTTGGGAGGCAGCATAAATAATCACAGAAGACCACAAAGGTCAATGGGGAAGAAAAAAAAGCTCAAGAAGTGTGGGGAGGAGGAGATGAGAGCTGACACTGTCTGGCCGCAGGAGTGGGAGGTGAGGAGACCCTGCTTTAGCTGGCTGAGAGGTGTAAGGTTCTTGGAGGAAAAGCCCGAGGGGTTGGGGGGGGCTTTCCCTGCCCAGGTCACCTGGAGGGGCTGTGGGTGCCCCGGTCACCCATCTGGATGGATGTTCTGCAGGGCGGCCATGGGAAGAGCAGGTGTGGAGTATAATGCATGTAGTAGATCCTAGCTAATGAGAGAGAAGAGTGGACACCCATTTCTTGATCCCCAGGCCAGATCTCACCCCCAAACCATGACTCTTCTGAGAAGAACAGTGTTTATGGACTCTGTGGATAGTGGGAAATGAAGGGAGAAAAGGAGGAAAAAAAGAAAATGTGTAGAAGACCAAATGAAATGTGGCGTTTCAGAGTCCTGTGACCTCGGGCCACTTCTCGGTTTCCTCATCTGTAAAATGAAAAGAATGAACCCTACCTCCTGGAGCGGATGTGAGGTGCAATGAGATCTTATGTGTCAAAGAACTGTGTAAACTTTAAAGTGCTATATGACGTGAGGGGCTGTGGTCATTCTACAAGTGTAAGGCTGAAAGTGGCTGAGATCGCAGTGGCGAGAGACACACGCGGAGCATCTCTTGAAGCAATCGGACCCCTGCTCTGCCTTCCCCGGGCCGAGCTCCCCCCTTCTCAGCCTCAGCTTCCAGGAGGAAGAGGCCTCATCTCAGAGGGAGTCCCCCAGGGAGTAAGAGCAGAGGGTGGGGGTCAGGAGGGGCACTGTGAGGGGCCTCAACTGGGCAGTGTGACACATTGGCACTACTGGTGTTGGGCAGACGGTAGAAGTGGTTTCCAGTTTTCATTCTTCACAGAGACTTGGGCACCGGTGAAACCCCCATGGGATTGGCATCTTGATGCAGTGGGAAGGGCCCTGGCCACAGGGTCTGGACACCCTAGGTCCTGGGCCTGGGTCCACTGTTGACCTGCTGGGTGACTTAGTAGGTCACTTCCCCATTGCAACCCTCAGTTCCGTCAACTGTAAAATGGGGACACTATTCCCTACCCTGCCTGCCTCACAAATTAAATGGGAAAAGGGTGTTGCAAGAGCTTTGAAGAGAATCATGGGAAGGCAAAGGGTCATTATGGCCTTGGCGAGCAATCCTCTTAATTCCCTGAAGACAAGAAAGAGAGGGCAAGAGACAGACAGGAGCTGGGCTGCTTGCAACCCTTGTCAGGACAATTGGGCTTCTGGGGCTTCGAGGGAATAGAGGGAGGTGGGGGAAGTGGAGGAAGAGCTGACACGCGCAGTCCGGCGATATGGTCCATCAGGGATGCTGCGAGCCACAGCAGGGAGTGCTGAGAAGTCCTGGCAGCCCCCTTTGCGGGGGGAAGTTCAAGTTCTAAGTCTACTGGGATGCTGGCTTCCCGCTGCGCTCCCTGGTCCATTGACGGCACCCCTCAGAGAGTCCGTGGTCTTTGCCTGGCCGAGAGGAAGCCAAGGCTCCTGGGGTGGCAGGGAAAGGGGCTGACAGCGGTGGGTCTCCGGGAGAGGCTGGGGACTTTTATTAGCATGAGGTCAAGAGGTCAAAGGTCAGCTTCCAGTTCTTGAGGTGGCAGGTGGGAGTCCTCAGGCTCTCCCCCAGCTCCAGTCCTGGCTCTGTCTCTGGGATCACCGGATAAGGGAAAGTTAAGGGATGAGTAGAAACAACGGAGAGATCGGCTTAGAAAGCAGCCCACCCGGGGAGCTAACAGTTCTTGGGGCTGTTGCGCAAGTTTTTCAGTTCCAGCTGTAGCTGCCGAATGCGGATATCCTTCTGCACCAGCTCCTCTTTCAACCGCCGAATCTCATCCTGCTGCCGGAAGAACATTCGGAGGAGCTGGGGTGGACGAAGAGAGGGGGCCACGGAGGGCCAGGGAGAGAGCAGGTGAGAAGTGACTTCTCGAGTGGGTATCTGGACCCCTGCCCCGCCCTTCTCCCCCCAGGCCTTCCACTGCTCCCCCACTTCAGCATCCCAGGTGACTCGTGTCACTGCAGCTCTCCCTTCTCCAGACCCAGCTCACAGCTCCTACTTTCCTCTGTGAGGTAGGAAAAGAGAAAGCTGTGGCCTATGCAGACCTGGCTCAGGGTCACCGCGGAAGGGTGAGTCCACAGAGGCCAGTTTTCCAGACATCCCAAGCTTACCTTTTTAGGGGTCCAAATCTAACACATTTATTTACCATTCTGGATGGAAACCTTTCTAAAATGTTTTACATCTGTCTCTTCTTAAGGAGGCCTAGGGTACAGAATGAAACCTAGTGCTTTTCCTGCTGACAGGTGACTATCATAGGAACACCAAAGTTTGCACGGGGCAGTGATTCATTTGCTGAGGTGCGCAAGGGCGAAGCACAGGTATCTTGACAGACCTTCACGCAGAGGACTCTCGGGATTGACCAGTCTCTCCATTTCTTCCGTAAAACAGACCGACAGACACCCACAAAACACTGAGCCCTGGAAGGCAGCCGGCCACCTGAGGACTCCACACACTTGAGTTCAATGTCACCAACAAACAGTGGTGTTTGTCCTCAAACTTCCTGGTGTGAGTTGCATTTGTTCTTGCAATTGCATAATTTAATTAAATCTGACATAAACTGATGAAATATGAATACAAAAAGAGAGTTGCTGTTTCTATAAAAACTAAGTTGAATGCATTAGAAAATCTTCATAGAGGCAATGCTAAAAAAGTTGCTGCTGTATTAGGTGTAGATGATATTACCATAACAGATTGGGGAATATTCTATATCTTGATTGTGTGATAGTGGTTACACAGCTGTATGCGCTTGTTAAAACTCACGGAACTGTACGCTACAAAGAATGAATTTTACCATAGGTAAATCAGACCTCAATAACTTGTCAAAAAAAATAGGGAAAACTTTGAAAAAACTAGGGCTTTGTTTTCAGGTTGACTTTAAGTTCTTATTCCACCTAAAAGCAACTAAAATCGGAAATTAGAGTTAAAGTGTGATTTACGTGAAAAAGACAGCTGATCCCAACCAGGGGAGGCCTCAAAGAAAACATCTTGATCCTGCATCAAAATATGTTGGAGGAATCTTTATGTTTTTGTTTTAAATGAAAAAAAATGGTTTAAAGAATATATATATATATCATTTTTATGATTCTTTCCTTTAACTGACTTTAAAAAAAAAATTAACCAACAAACCAGTCCTGGTTACATCTGTTCAGAGGGATGATACGCAGTTTGCCCTACAGTAAATTATTTACGCACTCCCGTGCCTTCTAAGTTCTCAAAATGTCTTTGCGTAATTTCTTGGTTAGCTTTTGTTAAAAATACAGCTTTATTGAGGTGTAATTCACATACAATAAAGCTCACTAATTTTAAGTGTACAATTCAGTGATTTTTAGTGAAGTTATAGAGTTGTGCAACCATTAGTCTCCTCCCCTGTATCAAGCTACCAATTGTCTCTTCACACTTAGCCCAATGCGTGTACCACCTGCAGCTCCATTTTCTAATTGGTTGCTTCTGGTCTACTGTGATGATTAAAATTGTGGGCAAAAACGGAGTTAGCAGGCTCTGAGCAAATTTCTTCCCACTGAGGAGGTGCACAAACTTTAATGTAAAGAGACTGTGGCATCTGTGTTGTCGGCTCAGAGACCCTTTAAGATTTTCCTCCACATCCTCAGTTCTGATGCATACAGATAAGTCTATAGCTAAGTGTTACTCAGTGTAACTACTGTTCAACTCCCCCTTCTCCACACTCGATACTGGAACTGAGTTCGGGCTCTTGTTATGGCCCACACCCACCTGGGCTAGTACAGCAAATTCAGGTACCTCTATCTTCTCAGGGTACTTAAAAATATATATTTTTTAATGGAAGATGCCAAATATATGCAAAAGAATAAGGATTGGACCATGAACCTTCAAGTACTCATCACCTGGCTTCAACAGATAACATGTGACCCACTTCCTCTGCACACCCCCCTTGGGGATTATTTTGAAACAAATCCCATTTATCACATGATTTCGTTCAGCCCTAGAAATCTGAGCATCTCTATAATGGCACATAAATATATTTTACAGCAACTATCAGTTTGCCTGCCAATTTTCCCTTTAAGATGTTCCCCTCCCCGATGTTATCCCCTCCCCTCCAGGGTGGACTGGACCTAGTAACTTGCTTCAAATGAATAGAAAATGGCAGAAGTGACAGGATGTCATTTCCAAGGTTAGGTTACAAAAGGACCGGCTTCTGTCTTGGATACTCTCTCTTGCTCACTCACTCTGAGGGACACCAGCTGCCATGTTTTGAGCTGCCCTATGGAGAGGTCCATTTGGCAAGGACCCGAGGGAGGCCTCTGGCCAACAACCCACGAGGAACTGAGACCTTCAGTCCAACAACTTGTGAGGAAATGAGTCCTGCCAGCAACACGTGAGTGAACTTGGAAGCAGGTCCTTTCTCAGCTGAGCCTCCAGATATGACTGTAGCCCTAGCTGACAGTTTACTCCCTTATGAGAGACTTGGAGCCACAGGCACCCACAGAAACTAAGAGATAAATGTTTGTGAGTTTAAGTCATTAAGTTTTGGGGTAATTTGTGACAATAGATAGCTAACAGATAGCTAATATGCCAATAGATAGCAAACATGGTTAGCCTCTTTGAGCACTTAGTATGAGCCAGGAAGACTGCTAGACACTTAGGGATTATCTCTTTAATGCTCACAGCATTTCATATCTCCATTTTACCATGAGGAAATGGACTTAGAAAGGTCAGGAAACTTGCTCGGGCACAGCCAGGAAACGGCAGAGCCAGGATTCAAATGCAGACGGATCCATGCAGCCATCTCTACTTCAGCTGCATCAAGCCAAGTGTCTGGCACACGGGAGGCATTCTGCGGATCCCGGTTGAGCTGAACTGTCTTGGCACCAGGGATTGAGGGTGTGGTTGGAAGGAGAAGCCTTTGGGGCACATGGACAAGGCCCAGCTATGGATGCCCTTGAATGAGCTGCTCCCATTCCAAATGGTACAAAGAGTACTTTCATAAACAGCCTCTTCCACAAAAACAGGAAACTGTCAGACCCTGTTGCCACTGCAGTGCCAGGGAGGAAGGCAGTGCTGTAATGCATGAGGCCGGCTTTTCCCCGTGAGTCAGGAATTTATAACTCCCGTAACAACAAATGACAGCAACATTCTGAATTGAATTCATGAGGAGACACGTAACGCTGTGGTTTAGTGAATTTGAGGTAGGGGGAGGGGCGTCAATATCCCTACCATATCCCAGCCTCTATTTATTGGGGTCAGAGGCAACGGAAGCCAATAGCAGGCTACTTATGGTATTTGTCACTGAAAGAAAAATGTCTCAGAATCGAGCTGGCTTAAAGGCCTGAAGCCCGTAATTGAAATGTAAGGTCTCGCTCTTCCAGAGCCTGTGGAGGTAATAACTTATATTCCTTACCTCGTTCTCTGTCCGGGGTGGGACATTTTCTAATAAATCTATTCCGTTGACCACAACGCTCTTCTTTTCTTTGATGGGAGCCTTAAATACCATTTTTGAGGACTTCTTATAGCCTTCTTTCAACGACATCAGCACGGGATCTAAGGAAGCAAGGAACACGTTCTCACTGACCGTTCGATGGGCTGGCAGGTGATGGTGTTGACCACTGACACCCGGCTTGACAGTGGCTGAGTGTGAGGGGAAGTTCAAACAGGAGGAGAGGCAAGGGAAATGGGGCGAGCTAGACCGTAGGCGAGGGCTGCAGTCTCTTAGCCTCCTCTGTGAGGTCCACCCCTTGCGGTACCTCGGTTGATGCCTCCCAGCCATTCATCAGGGGTCAGAGCTGGCTCCGTGCCCGGCGTCATGGGGTAAATGTCTTCCTGGTAGGAATCCGACTACAGCGGGGGGAGCAGAAGAGTGGACAGATGGGGGGCTGCCGAGAGAACCCCTGCTCTCCAGCCAGATGCTTCTCCTTGCCGACCTCCAACCCTACTACCTGCTTTCCTGCCTCCGAGCCTTTGCACTCACAGGCTTGGAATTCCCACCCTGATTAGTGAGCAAGCCAAACTGTCCCCACCTTAGAATGTCCCCCACCCCCCACCCCAAATTGGGCCTGAAGCCCTCAGTTCATAGGACCTCCTTCTTCTGGGCGCCTCCAAGCTTACAGTCAGCAGTGAGCGAGCTAGGATTCAATGCAGGGGTCCCTTCGGAGGCCAGCCCAGCCCCACTTACCCTCCGGGGCACGATCATGGAGATGGGCTCGATCAGGCCCTTGAGAGTCACCAGCTTGTAGAAGCGGAACACCTCGCAGGCCGACACATCCAGCCCGTGCTTGGGCATGACCCCTGTGGACAGGCACACATGGCTCCAGGGGGGCCTGGGAATCCCGCCTCCGTGCCCCTCCACCCTGAGGCCCTGGCCAGGGGAAAGGCCCAGGGGGTGGGCATTAGGTGTGGGGGCAACGCCCCATGCAGAGGGCAGCAGGTGGGCTGGGGGCTTCTTGAGTCAGGTCTGCCTCTGGGTGGTAACTTCTCAAATAAGCCCTGTGGGCTAGACCTGCCTCACCAAGGTGCATGCTTTAGAATCGGGGCCTTTCAGAACTGGAAGGGGCTGTAGATATATTTGAATCTAGTCCATTCTTTCTATAGATGAGACTCCTGAGGGTCAGAGGGGAAGGGGAAGGTCACAGAGTGTTGTTACAGTATAAGTCACAGAGCCCATCACCTTCTGAAATGAACTGGCTTCCCTAAGCCTGTGTCACTGGTCCTCAGACAGAAAGAAGGACGGAGAAGCCTTTCCCCACATATCTCAGAAGTTTAAATGCAGCCTAAGACTGCTGTTCCGTCATATGTCTTCTAGGACCGACAGTGCCTGCGTGTGTGTGTGTGTGTACTGTCTGCGTGTGGGCACTAGTCATAGTGTCCCTACTAGGGGCACCAACTGAACACCCACTCGGGGAGCAGCGCATTGTGGTGTTAGGAGCACAAGCTTTGGGGTCAGACAGACCTGGGTCTGAATCCTGACTCTGCCCCTCTTTCTGACTGGGAGTCCTTAGGCAAATCACTACCTCTCTGAGCTGCAGGTTCCTCGGCTGGTTAGAGGAGGACAGTGGTAGCCCCTCATGAGTTGGTCAGGGGACCGAGCGCGAAGATCCTTGTTGACTGCCTGGCGTGGCGATGAGCACAGATAACGTGAGTTCCTTCCCCATGATGTGAACATGAGTTAAGGTTCTACCTCTCCTCGACTGGAATGGAAGGCTGCTCTTCCAGATATGGGGATTCCAGGAGCTGGAGGGAAGTGGCCTAACGGTACCCAAGTGGGATTTGAAGCCACCAGACTTGGGTTTGAGTTCTGGCACTGCCACTTATGCGACCTGCCTGGGGTGAGTTACTTAGCCACTCTGAACCTACAAAAGTGCCTGGCTCATGGTAAATGCTCAATAGTGGCCACAGGTGAGGAGGATGAGGAGATATTGTTATCCATGGTTCCTCCCTCTCCTGTCCTCCTCTCCAAGTCCTGCTGACCCTACTTTCCATACATCTGGGTTCATCCTCTTCTCCTCATCTTCAGGCCATCCCCTGAGTTATCATCCTCTCTTGCCTAGAAGTCCACAACGGCCTCCTAACTGGTCTCTCTGCCTCCCTCCTGCTCTTTCAAAATCGATTCTCCATACAGAAGCCACAGCAATCTTAAACTAACCTTTCAGATCACATCACAATGTCCCATCTCCCACCCAGCCGAAGCCCCCCAGAAAAAGAAGACCCTCCAATGAGTTCCCAATAAAACCCAAACTCCTTCCCCTGTGCGATGGTTAATTTTGTGTGTTGGTGGACTCAGTAAAGTAAATTGCCCTCCCCAATGTGGGTGGGCATCATCCTCCATTGAGGGCCTGAATGGAAGAAAAGGCAGAAGAAAGAGGAACTGGCCCCTTTTGTCCTGCGTCACTGCTTAAGCTGAGACATCTTATCTCATCTTCTCCTGCCCTCAGACTGGGATTTATACCATCATCTCCCCTGGTTCTCAGGCCGTCAGGCTTGGACTGAATTACACCACTGGCTTTCCTGGATCTTCAGCTTGCAGATGGCAGATGGTGGGACTTCTCAGCCTCCATAATCACGGGAGCCAATTCCTCATAAATCCCCTTATATATATATATTTGGATGTTTCTCTGGAGAGCCCTAATACATCCTGTCTAATGCATCCCCTGCAGCCCCTGCCCAGCTCTCCAACTCAATCTCCTAATGCTCTCCCATCTTCTGCTGCGTCACAGTGTCTGCTCTATGCTGAGCCACACTGACCTCCCTTCTGTTCCTAGAACATGCCAGGCTCATCCTTTGCACTAACTGTTCTTCCTGCTGGCACTACTCTTCCCCCTTCCTGCCTCTCAGATCTTAGCTGAAAATGTCACCTCTACAGCCAGGCCTTCCCTGACCACCTGGTCTAAAATCACCCCCAGTTACTCTCTGTTCTATCACCCCATTTGATTCTTTGCTTAGAACTTACTACCATCTGATATTTTCCTTCCTTCTTTGTTTATTGTCTGTCTGCACTTTAGTGGCATGTGAGTAAGGCTGTGTTCTGTTTTATTTATCACTGTATACCTGGACCTAGTCCAGGGTCTGATATCTAGCTGGTACCCAATAAATGTTTGTTGAACAACTACATGAAGGAGCAGGAGGAGCCAGGTGCTCTGCCAAGTGTGTTGTCCACATGGTCTCTAAGCTTTACAACGGCCCTTCAAGGTAGGTTTGATTATCCCCATTTTACAGATGAGGAAACCGAGACTCAGAGGGGTTAAGTACATAGTTGGAGTTGAGATTCCAAAGGCCAGGCTGCTTTTTAAACTATTTGATAAAAGGATGACAGTGAGGGAGCTGGGGATGACAGAGAGTTGAGGAAGGGTGAAGTCAATGGGATGGTTATCAGGACCTCAGGATCTCTGGGCTTCCATTTTACTGTCAGTCACTGACGTGGGCTCTTGGGCCCTCCCAGCCCTGATGTCTCTGAAGCTGGCCCTCAGGCCCTGTCCATAATACTAGATCCTCTGAGGGAACAAGCCAGACTCAAGTCCAAAGGAGAGGTGGGAAGGGAGCCCCTGAAGAGATTTCTTCCACTGGGTGATTCGGACCCCAGATGGGGAACTGTTCAATTGTGTGCACTGCCAGTGTTAGTTAATAGGAATGAAAATTTTACTGTGAGACTGTAGTGGTGGGAGAGCGTGCAGTGTGAAGAACATCTCACCCCCACCCTGACTCACTACACTCGTCAATCCTGGGCCCGCTCTAGGGTTTGCCTAAGAACCTGGGGAGCCTGGGGATGCAGGGATGGGGACACCCAGGAACTTCCTCCTGTCCTCTCAGGCAAGGACAGAGCTGCTCCTGGGGCCTGGGGGTCCTGGCTTCCCAGAGGCTTCCGGAAGGGGCCTGAGTCTAGACCCTGCTCTGACCTTTAGTTACTGAACCACCTCCCCTCAGTGTCAGAACCACGTTGGGCTTCCCATCTGCAAATGGGAATGAAGACACCGTGCACACCCCTGCAGGCTGCTGATAACCAGAGACGGTGGAGGACGCCAGCACCACGGAATGATGGAGCCAGTCAAGTGGGCGGTGACAGGCTGGCTGAAGAAGGGCAGGGGCTGACCTTCATAGGGGCAGTACCTGTAGGTTCCATTCTGACTTGCCCATGAGCTGTGGCCTTCTGAGTCTGATTTTTCATTGGGGTAACAGGGTGGGAGTGTCCCATGAGCCAAATGTCCAGTCTCTTCTTCCATAGCCTAACAGCCATGGCAGCCTCTGGACCCCCTTACCGAGGCCTTTCTGCGGGGCTGGGGAGCGGAACTCCATGAGGTAACTCAGGTAGGGCTTCTCAGTGCTGATCTCGTAGTACCGGATGTTTCCATCTCCCTGGGGGCAAGGAGACAGCGAGGTGAGGAAAGTGGGGGGAGGGGAGGGCTGAGCAGGCCCTGGTCCCTGGGGTCTGCTGAAGAGAGCGTCTGCTGTGCCTCAGAGGTGGTCAAAGGACCAGGGAGACCTGGCCTCTAGGCCCCTGGTGGCCCTGCCACAGGGGACTTGCTGGGGTGGGGGGATGGTGTGTGTGTGTGTGTGTGTGCGCGCGCACGTGCGCCACAGGGGACTTGCTGGGGTGGTGGGGTGGGGTGTGTGTGTGCGTGTGTATGTGTGCATGCACACATGTGTATATAGACAGCCCTTCTGACAAACAAGGCCATATTTGCTAAAGATCTCCCGGCAGGTTCTTCAAATTCCATCACTAATCATTGTCCTCTACACTCTGATCCTTATTCCAATGTAAAACCCTCACCAATCCACCTCTGAAAGAATTCTTAGTCATTGACACTTCAGTAAGAATGAGTGTCAGGCTTGAGGATAGGTTTTGATGGAAGAGGGTGAGACCTAGGTTAGATCAAGGGAAGGCCAGCGAGGTTAGGCTGGCTCTTCTTAGGGGAGCAGGGCAGGAGCAGGGTACCAGTGGGGCAGGGGTCTCCGACAGGCTGCCCCAGTCCCTCCCCCAGCTTCTACTACCTTTCCAGCCAGGTAGAGCATGTGGGTGTCAGCGTCGTAGAAGGGGAACAGGAGGCCGGAGAGCCCATCAATTTCCTCCTCGATCAGGGGCATGGATAGGTCCTCCTGTGGATCGAGAAGGGGGCCGGTATCAGCCTATGTCCAGGCAGGATGGCACCTCACCTTCCCAAACCCCAGCAGAACCCCCAGAGCTAACACAAAAGGTCCTTCCATGTCACCACCCGGTCTCCCCACAGCTGACCTGGTCCCAGAGGGCGATCTGTCTTGTGTTCCACCTGGAGACCCCTGTCGTGAGAAGCCGCTTCATGTTTCCCAGGAACACCACCCGGTTCACTCTGTGGTTTTTGCAGTTTGCCTCCTGGGAGGGACAGAGAGAGCTGGTGAGCCAGGACCCCCAGACACTAGGGTACTGTAGCAGGCTGGATGGTGGCCCCAAAAAATATGTCCATGTCTTAATCTCTGGAACTGTGAATGCTTCCTTATTTGGAAGAAGGGTCTTTGCAGATGGAAGTTTAAGTTAAGGACCTTGAGATGGGAGATTCCCCTAGACTATCCAAGTGGGCCCTCAACACCTTCATGAGTGTCCTTATGAGACAGGCAAAGGGAGATCCCACAGGCACACCAAGGAGAAAGTGATGTGATCGTGGAGGCAGAGACTGGAGTGAAGTGGCCACAAGCCAAGGAAGCTGGCAGCCACCAGAAGCTGGAAGAAGCAAGAAGGGTCTCCCCTAGAGCCTCCGGAGGGTGTGTGGCCCTGCCGACCTTGACCTTGGACTTCTGGACTCCAGACTGGGAGAGGATCCATTTCTGTTGCTGTAAGCCACCCCGTTTGTGGTAGTTGTTGCAGTAGGCTCAGGAAATGAATACAGGTGCTGTGGAGCAATGACGGAAGAGGGTGGGACCAGGAACCAGGCCTTTCTGCCACGTCCGAGAGCTGGTGGGGAATGGGGAAGGGGACCTGGGGCTGACCAGGTCCCAGTAGGGCTGGCACTGCTGGGTGCTGTCACCACAATACGTCACAACAGTCCCTACTGGAAGGAACCTCTGAGGATGAGGAACCTGACGCTCAGGAGGACAGACGACTCATGCCGGTTCACTGCTCGACGACTCCCTTCGCCAGGGGCTCCTTCTGAACTAGGCCATCCTCTGCCTCCTCTCCTGCCTCTCAGCTCATGACACTTCCTTTTCCTCCTGCCACACATGGGTCTTTGCCAGGATGAGTCAGCGTCAGGTCAGAAACCAGAGGCTGGTGAAGCCGTGCTAAAGATCCAGGCTGGCGTCACTTGCTCTGGGATTAGTTGCATGTTCTGCCAAAAGAGCATAACCTGGGAGGAGCCCCTCACCCTCTCTGGGCTGTGTCCACGTCTGTGATGGAGGCTGGGTTCTCTGCTCTCTAACATCTTTTCTGCATGGCATAGACTCTGGGGTCCAACTTGCTGGGTTTGAATTCTAGCTCCTACTGTAACTGAGATGCAAGTCTCTGACCCTCTCCAAGGCTCCGTGTCCCCACGTGTGAAATGGGAAGGTAACAGTACCCCCCTCAGAGCACTGTCCTGGGGATTGAACAAGGTAAGGATGTGGAGCCCTTGGGACAGTGTGTGCCACACAGCGAGCTCTGAGTAAATGTTGGTTAGTACTAATGATGCTAATAACCATGATTATTAGTATTTATAGTAGCAGTAGATGACTTTCTGCAATATTCTGCAATGTTGGACTCTTCTAAGATAAACACAACCAGGTCATGCCTCAATCCTTTCTTGTGTAGGAGGTAAACCTCAAATGCCACCCCACCGAGCCCCATGACTGGCACACAGTAGGTGCTCAAGAAGTGTTAATTTCTTACTCCCCAGTGGCATCTAATCCCTTCCTCACAGTCAAGACCCAGGAGACTCAAAGACCAAAGCTGGAGCTAAGCTCACCATCAACCTCCCCACTTGGAACCGTCCCTGGGGCTGGCACCCTGAGCCATTTCCGTCAGGCTCATCCCATGAAGGTGGCTGGGCAGTGAGTCCAAAGTCCCCTCCTCCTGTGCCCACGATGGGGCTCGGTCAACACCCAGGGATTTATGTGCGGAAAGGTGTCACAGTTCAGCCCCCAGAGCAGGCCAGAAGAATCCTAGTGGGGATGAGAAAGGCTGCTGAGGTCCCTCCCCACCCAGAACAAGCCAGGGTTCCTATGAGCTGAGAAGGGCCCAGAACAGAAGGGCTGGTCAACAGAGGTGCAGGCCGGGTGCATGTGACAAGGAGAGCTCGCACAGTCTTTTCCTCCAGGCCTGGCTGAAAGCAGAGCCCCAGGCCCCACTATTTCCTTCCCCATCAAAAAAATGTGGGGCTTCACCTGCAGAACGCGGCCAGAGCGGGGCTCGATGACGCGCAGTTTCTTGTCCTTGCATGTGGTGGTGAGCAGGCTGCCGTCGGTGTTGAAGGACATGCAGAGGATCACGTCTGAGTGGCAGTCGATCATCTTCACCGGCTCCCCCACGTCCAGGTTCCAGATGAGGACCTGGGAGGGCAGACATGCAGGAGGTGGGGTCAGCCCTGCTGCTGCCATCATGGGGTGGCCGTCCCAGGTCTGCACCCAATCGCCCTGGGAGAGATGCCCTGTGCAGGGCCCGGGGTGGGCTGGGGTGCAGGACGGAGTCGTTGGGTTCTGCAGCAAAGGCTGATGCACCCTTGTCAAACAAATCCACAAATATCCTTGGGCCAATCCCAGGCCCAGCCTGGGCTCAGTTTTTACAACCAGCAAGGAGGATAAATGTTCCTTCCTTGCCACGTCTCAGCGGCTGGCACACCTCTTTTGAGGGCCTGCCTAGGGGTGGGGGCTGGGCTCCTGTCTCTTCCCTCCAGCAGCTTCGGTTGCTCCTTTTTCCTATCAGGAGAGCAGCAGCCACTTCTTAGTTAAGAAGTGGCCAGGCACAGGGTGTGGGCATGGAGTGGCATTCTCCTCCAGTCCCTCAGCTCCAGAAAAGGCAGTAAAGATGCCTCCAGCCTCTGTGGACCCCAGGAGTGACGGGGTGCACAGAAGATGCTCAGTCGTGTGTGGTCAATGAATAAATGTATGAATGGCTGAGACAGTAGTGGTTAACATGCTCAGGGAAGCAACAGTGCTCCCTACAGGCCCCCCAAAGATGTTCTTCTCTCTCCCTCCCGCTCCCCACTGAGTTGGCTCTGGCCACAGCTGCCCCCTGAGCTGCCCACCTTGTAGTCGTAGCCGGCACTGAACAGGATGTTGTTGGTGGTGGGGTGCCACTCGACCAGCCCCACGCGCCGGCTGTGCCCGTGCAGCTCCAGGAGAGCCTCCGTCATGTTCCGCTTCAGCCCGCCCTCAGGGATCTCCCAGATCCGCACCTGCAGAGGGGATGGAGGGTCTAGGCTGGGTGGGCAGGGCCGGGAGAAGCTTTCCGAGATCTGCCTGGTGAGGCACCTCCTGGCCAGGGCGGTGGGCAGAGCGCAACTGAGGCCTGGGGGAAGGTTCCAGGGTGTGGTTAGAGAGGCAAGAAATCATTTCCTCTTTGCCTTCAGGAGGGTTTTCTCTGAGAAGTCTCTGCAGACCTCGGCAACTATTATTACTGGCCTGTTGCTATTGTTATGGTCTAGCCAGGCCCAGAGGACCACTTTCCAAGCAGCTTTTAGCAACGATTGTGTCAGAAAGCCTGTCTCTGCTTCCCTTCCCACGCCCTTCTAGGAGATGTGCCTTCAGCCCTAGCTCCTCTGTTGACCACATGGCCTCATCCCCCAATCTGTCCCCAACCCAGGGTGCACACCTGAGCAGAGGGAAACCCATCTGGGAGGCTGGGAGGCCCTGAGCCTCTCCTGAGAGATGATGAACTAAGAGGCAGAAACGGATCAGATCTTGGAGCCCGAGCCGAAAGGATGGGCAAAGCTGGGATGCAGCTGCTATTTTCAGACTTACGGATGCTGATAAAGAAGCAGAAAGAGATGATCGGCGGAGACAAGGATGAGACATGCAGAGAAGCAGAGAGAAGAGACCATGTGGTCCTGGAGAGAGGAAACTCAGTTTCTCTGCAATCTTTGAATAACCCCCCGATTATTTACATCAGCCCTGGTGGGCTTCTGTTTCTCAAGCCCAACATGCTCTGCGTGGTTTCAACTGTTTCATCTATAAATGGGGGGAAAAAATCTTTGCCTTGCCTTGCCTCCTGGTAGAATAAAATAACCTACTGGTTATAAAAGTTTGTAAACTATAAAGTGCTCTAAAGACCTAAGGAATTGTCATTCTTGTTATAATTGTTGTTATTATCATCCTTCATGATATTTATTATGACCTAACTGGACGGACAGGAAAGAGCATGTGTGCCGACAGCTGAGCACACCTTGAAAACCAACCTTTCGAAAATCTGAACTCCACCCTTGCTAGTAAGGAGAAAAACAGGAAAATCAGCTTTCAGACACCATTTATAATCTTTTAAAATAATCAACTGGAAAGAAAAAAAGAGCCAGCGTTGGCAAGATTATACTGGAACTTGTAGCTTCAGTCGGGGTTGGTAGTATTATAAATCAAGGTAATCTTTTGGAAGCCATTTGGCAATCTTTAGTAGGAACCATAAAGACATTTATATTATATTCTTTGACCTAGTAATTTCACTCCTAAAATCCAGTATAGGCAAAAATCTCCACGCATGAAGATGTTCACTGCAACACGGCGAATTTAGAAACACTAAGTGACCAACATTAGGGGAACCATTTCCTATGTCATATCAATATGGAGTCTTAGCCATTCGACCATAATCCTGAAGGCTAGGAATAAACATGGGAGCATGCTAAAGAAAGTCAAAGGCAGTCCCAGGGGCAGGGGAGCAAGGCTGGGATCTGGGGTGCCCCTTAGGGAACTCCCTTGGCGGGCTTCCCTTCTTGGCGCTTTGCCCTCAGATTATAGGAATGAGTATTTCCCACACGTGTGCCCCGAAAGACCCAGCTTTGCCATGTCAACACGGGAGGCTTCAGGGTAAGGAAGGCAGGTCCCATCAAGGATTTGGGGTCACTGTTAGGCGCACCATTCTCCATCTCAAAACACACTCGAGAAAAGTTTATAATTAGGGACAGCTGAGTGTTTTCCCGTCCCCACTGTAGTCTCCTTTGCTTGCTCCAGCTCTCAGTAAAGCCAACACTCCCACACAGCCCAGCATGGTGGCGGGGCCTGGTGGAGGCAGGTGACATAAAAGGCACCCAGCATGACCCATGACCTTTCCTCGACAGGCCCAGTGCAAGGGCGTTCTGAGATGGGGTCTGATCTGGAAATGGTGGGCAGGGCGGAGTGGGGATGGAGGGAGATGACTCAGTAGTCACTAAGACGATGCACATTCCTCTTGTCCCCAAATGTACCAGAGGAAGTGACCTTTGAAGAGAGGAGACCAATGCTTGGGTTAGACACTCACACAGACACATACATGCACACACACACGACATGCATACACACTGCACCATACCATAGCTCTCACACACACACCACACCCCCACACACATTTCTTTGTTTTTAACCCAAAGGGATGTTATTCTACATGTACTTCTGCAACTTGCTTCTCTCACAAAACAGCAGGTAATGGGAATCTTTCCATACCACGACCCATGGATCCACCTTATCTTTTTAAGTGGCGAGAGGGATATCTGCTCTATGACTATGCCACGATGGATTTAATCACCCTCTATCTACAGACACCTGGGTTCTGCCCCCTTTTTTCACTATCACAATTCATTCTATGGTGAACAGCCCTGGAATACAAGTTTGTGCATGGGTGTGAGTATTCCTGCAGGACACATGCCTAGAAGCGTTCCATTTTTTTTATAGATACTGTAAAATTGTCCCCAAAAGCTGTCCCAGTTTTCACCAACAGAGTCTGAGAGTGCTTCTTTCCCTATGTCTCTAAAACTATGTCTTCAAACATGGATTTTTGCCCATCGGATTAAAACAGGTTGCACTGCTGTTTGGATTTGCATGTCTTTGAGTCTTAGAAATACTGGGCATATTCTTACATGTTTATTGGCAACCCTGGTTTGCACCTGAGTAGGAAGCTTGAGAAGCCTTTGGTCTCAAGCGGATGAGGGTTTCAGGGGCAGAACGACAGACTAGTGTGGAGGCGTCTGGGGGCAGAGGATATTGTCTATAGACAGCTCATACTGTATCGTGAGGACAGCAGACAACTACGGACACACACGAATACCACGTCATCCCGTGCATAAGTGTAGACTGAGGCAAGAGAGTGGCCTCTGGCCTTTGAGAAAGATCTCTGAAACAGAAAGTTGAGCCTCATTCATTCCACACACACCTCGTAAGAGCCCGGTGCTTGCTAGCCAATGGGATGGGTGCAGAGCTGGCCCCATGCCTGCTCTTGAGCAGCACACAGTGGGGCCGACAAGGCAGAGAACTCACAGGAGCACAGAGCTGGGGGAATCAAAATCCAGCTTTGGGGGTGATGAGGTGGGAGGGTCTGGGAGGAGCAGGGTTAGAAGAGGGGATGTTGACCCACGTTTGAAAAGACAGGTTGGGGATGTGGGGAAGGGTGAGGAGATAGAAAAATGACCAGCATGTGTGGGTTCGGGCACAGTGGGTGGGGCAATTGCAGGCCGGTCAGCCTGGCTGGGGTGGAGCAGGCTGGCAGGTGGCAGAGGAGGCCAGAGGCCATGTGTGTCACACCTGGTCACCAAAGCCCAAGGAAGCCCTGCTTGGGCAGAGTGTCAGAAAAAACTCTTTCCCAGAGCAGCCTCATTCCTGAGCAGCCAACCATCTGAGGTGTCCCTGGGTGACATCAGGTGCCAGATGATGGCAGAGATTCGCAGAGCTGTGTGGTGAGGCTCCACCCAGGCTCTAACCCCACCGACTAGCTGGAGGACCTTGGAGGAGCCAGTCCACCTCTCCGTGGCTCAGGCTCCTCATCTAGGTAATGAACTGAGATGTGTGCACCTTTTAGAGTGGTGCAGGTTAAACTAAACTGGGCTTCAGAGTCCTGGTAAGTGTGAAGCTTTCTAGCCACACGAGCTGATTTGTTGGGGTGACAGCTCTGCCTAGGAACCTAGGGGCCAAGGGGATGGGGAGGCCAGCTTGTGTCTGTGCCCTGCTCAGCCCCTGGACTGGATACAAGGCTCGTGGAGCCAAGGGCTGCGGGGGGGGGAAGCCAAGAGCTGTTTTCACCAATAACTGTTAGATGTAGGGGTCCAGGCAGGGCTGGCGGGACCCGGATGAAAAATGTCCCACAGAGAGGGACACAGGCGCCTTGCCTCATCCCCATCTGATACCAGCCACTTCCCTCCCTGGGCCTCGGTTTTCTCAGCTGCACGTTGAGACAGTATTAGTTAATCTTTCAAACTTCTCTGCTTTTGACATCACTCAATACATCACGGGGTGGAGGGAGGGGAATGGCTCTGCTTGATCCACCGCTACAGCAAACAGTTGGCACCACATGCTCCGGGAGTGCAGAGGAGGAGCTGGAGTTCACAGTGGGCCTAAGTGGCTGGAAAAGAATTCTAATCCCTTAGCATTCAAGGGATTTGTTGGAAACAAAGAGTGGATGGGCGTGGGAGGAGCGCTGTGGATCTGTCCAGAGGTTGCTCTGGGAGGTTACTTCAATTCAACAGGAAATCCAACAGGAGCTGCCAAACCGGATTTCTGGAAGGAAGGGGAGGGGAAAGTGGCAAAAGCACTCTCTCCAGCAAGGCAGCTGTGCCTGGGACTGTCCCCTTCGTAGGTCCCCAGGTCAGCGCCCTGTTTAACTCAGTTACATTCAGTCCAACAAAATATGCTCAGCCCCTCCCTGTGTCACACACATTAGACACGGGGACGGTCCTTGGTCTCAAGTAGCTCGCAGCACTGTGGAGGAGACAGCACACACATACAGACAAGGCTAAGGCAAGGTGGCTGATAAGGATGGTTAATAAAGCTAGGAAACTAAGTGTCCCCGTGCATGGCGGAGGGAGCAGCTAGCCAACAAAGTGAGAGCTTTGGGGTATGACAAGCTCCCTTCAAATCCAGGCCCCAACCTGATTGGCTGTGAGACTTCGGCCAAGTTACTTAGCCTCTCTGAGCCTCAGTCTTCTCATCTGTAAGAATAATTATACCCATAATTATAGTTGCTAGGAAGACTAAATAAAGGTAAAATATATACCCTACCAAGAGATTACTAAACATTTAATAATACTTAACAATGCTTGCTTAATATTAAGGATTATATACAAGTCTTATATAAGTCAAATTTTAGATGTGATTTATATTTTTCATGTGTACTTTGTTGCCCCCTGTGTAGTCAATGCATGTGGTATGAAGTTTGTCTCCATTTTATGGAATGCAGCATAAATTTCCTCTTTAAAATTATTATATGATCATGAAGGTGTCTGGT